TAGATACTTTTAAGTATCCACTTTATTGAATTCGCGGGCAAAAGCTAGTTAATAAATTGTCATGAAATTTAGTAGGCATGTATTAAATGAGAGAGAAGTACATAGTACATACCTATTTGACCCAATTAATTAACATATCCAGATCACGCAGATACAATGGGTTAAAAGCTAGAATATTATAAACTAGATTATGAAATTGCATATCTACAAATATAATTTGATTCATAATTAGCCTTTTTTGCTGTGCAAATAAAGCGTCCATCTTCACAAAAGTAATATGGGAAAAGTAACATGGAGTAAACTTTGTCGATTGCAGAAATAAAATAAATCGGCAGAAGTGGCGGAAAATCAGACGAACTGCAAACTTCTTCTTTTTTGTAAGATACTTAAAAAGGCGTTGTTGGTATTTTATTTCGAAAACATCATGGCAATTGTCAATACAGTAACGCTACGACAATGTGTAAAAATGCATACTAAGTAACTTAAAGTAAACAGCATAAGTGAGACAGGTGCTTCGCTGTGTTATGTAAGCAATCTGGATGTTATCTGTCTGGAATTATGTCTATATGAATCGAAGTTTTAATACTAGTTTGCCAAAAGGCACTGTTATTTTAAAAAGCAATCAATAATCGACAGCTATGCGCTGTATTTATAAGAACTACATTCTTGCTACACTATCTAACTTTAGAAAATAATATTTTTTTCTGTGATTAAGTAAGATTGGTAATTAGAAAAAAAGATAGATGTGATTGTATGGCATTTATTATAAAATAATCTCAATAGGTTTGTTATGGTAGTATACGTTTACAGTAGTTAGGTATACTTACAATACTACAAAAAGCTTTTAAAAACGACTATTCTCTTGATAAAATATTCACGATTTGTAGACTTTTGTATTCAAATTGTTTTGTTTTTTTTTTCATCTTTTGTGTAAAAACACACAGTACCTAATGGTAAATCTGGGAAACATTCAATTTTCTTTCTTTGCTATTGTTTATTGTTCATTCTTTGTTTTGTAATCCCAGTGATCCAATTACATGAGAACGAGGTCTAGAAAAGGAACCATTTCTTTTTATGTTGCAATAAAACATTAAAAGAACTGAAGTAAGTACTTTACTCCTTTACTTGAAAACATTGTCTGGAAAATATATTGCACTGCAAGATAACTTATATTTTTAAATTACTGAATCTTTATTCTTATTAAAAAGCTACGAAATTTTTCATACCCATAAATACTTTTTTTTTTAATAGATGTTAATGAATGGTAGCTCTGACGCTGGCGAAGCGTCAGTGAAGGATAATAAGTGAGACTGAAAAGGCCGGTCAGTTAGCCCATCGTGATGAATACACATGGAATTCAGAACGATGGCTTCCATGGCTTCCTACGTGAAGGTCGACCTGTCAGGGTATATTACTAGTAATTGGACTAGTAGTCCACATTACTAACAATCCCTTCCCCTCTACCCGTAACTACTACTGTACTATTTGAAATGGTGAAGAGTACATGAGCCATTTTTTATTGCGAGCAATCGATATATCCCTGTCATATGGCCAAAGCCAATTTATTATAAAATACGCGTCAAAACCTTGTTGTTAGTTGTCAATAATATAAACAATAGAAATACGCAATCATGCTTAAACAGCTGTGCAGACTTAATGCGATTGATAATTTCACTTACAGAGTAAATAAAGTTTTGTAAGTATAGGTACATAATGGACTTATCCAGGATTAACAGCAATTTTTTTAATTAGCACGGAAATAGCCGTAGGATATAGGTAGTAACAAATAATAATTTAATTATCATTATTTGAAGCGCAAATGGCAGACCTTTGTCTGCGGAGAATATTTTCCTTTTTATTTCCGTTTTTTTACTCGTCTTGCCTCACTTTTAAAGTCGACAACAATCTTCAGCGTAAACTTTTGTTTGACTATAAAAATAAAGACTAGGGTCCAACCATATAAAACCCATAAAATTGCAAGTTACAACGAACACATATCATGAAAGTTTACGGAAAGGGATATTCAGGTCGAGCTGTAAGCGGTTAGGGGCGACCGAACTAGGTAACCATCGTGTTTTTTTATAAATTCACACGATGAGCTAACGGACACGTTTTCATCTTCGCCTATCTGCCCTCTTTGGTACTCAACCATCATATTATATACTAATAATATAGGTAAAATAACCATTTCATTTACATCCGATTAAAAAATACCAATTGCTTGCACGTCTATGTATCTGTATATTTAATTGTCTGCATAGGCCTTTATGACGTAGGTTATAAAACCTAGGTTTCTATATTAAATATCTACTTAGGTTTATTTATGTTAATTTTATAGACATAATGAATAATAATGAATATAGACATTTCACCTCTCAGTTCCGAGTGGTATGTCTAGTGGGATGGAATAAATGAGTTTTAAGAGCCCTGTATTCCCACTTCAGTGTTCAAGACAGGTCAGCTTGCATTTGACAATTCAGGTTTCCCTTGTTGAGTTTCTAAGTATGATTTATTTTACGTAAATTAAATTGTAGGGTAATTACTTAAGATATAAAAGGGTGAAATTAAAAATAATACAATATAAAAATAATGCAAATTAAAAGAAATTAAGTTACAAGGTTTGTAGATGTTAGATTAGGGTATCCAAATGAAATAAAAACAATTAAATAGATGAAGGATGAGCGAAAATTAAACCATCCTAATAAATAAATTTACAATGTAAAGACAGAATATACAGCTAAGCAGCTGTGAATGAGATAGTGGAGGGCCTGTGCTGCAAATAAATATATTTTGTTTTGGAAAATATATTTTTTTTGCGATTAGATTTTGAAATATGAAAATACGTTTGTTTGTCTGTTATCTCCTAGTGCATTAACAGCTCAACCCATTATCAGGAAATATTGCATACACTTTAACATTTGATACGGGGAATGTCCTTCGCCATCTCAAATGACGCAGAGATGTTTTAATGTTTTGAGAAGGGTACAAGCAACTTTGTATCCTAGTCAATCAACATTATTTCGGGTATATGGATGAAGTAGGGAATAAAAATCATAACACCAGGATGAGAATCAATACTAGTATAAGCAAAAATGTAGTATACGACTTACGAAAAACTACTAGAAATATTTTCCAGTGGGTATACCGAAAGGGTTGTCTACTGATTTGGAATAATGAAAAATCTTCCAACTTTGAGCATCCATCGTAGCGAAATTAAATTCTTTAGGAAGTTTTGCATAGTTATTATTAGGTTGTTGGCTTTACTTTTTCAATGTAAACTTGAGAATCTTGTTTAGTAAATATAGAATAAGTGAGTATAATATCCAAAGATTTCCTAAAAAGTAATTAGGTGAACAAAATATAAACTTCATATCTAAAGTATAAAGAGAAAAACTCAAAATAATTTTTTTTTCTTTTTTTTTTAAGGTTAGAAATGAAATTATTTAGGCATCCCGTCCTCGCTATTTGATACGGGTGTAGGAATGCCTGTTATGATGGGCGCATTGTGTTTTGTTAGAGAATAATCACTTTGAAATCCATGATGCTCATGCATGACTATTCCTAAAGGTTTCCACTTTTATTGTAAATATAAATCATATCTTACTTAAATTTATTTCTACTGTTTTTTGTAAATAAACATAGCTATTATAGATAGTGTTAGGGGATAGTTTTAATGCTGAAACATTACGTGTAATGTATGAATGTACTTGCTGAAGCCATACATACATGATATCATACATGATTATGGTAGTTACAGACCCAAAAGAGACTAGACTATATAAAATGTAATATAGATAGAGCGTCGAGCCTCGTATATAGATAGTACTCGTATAGTAAGTAAGTTGGTATATATCTGAGGCTTATAACACGGATATTCGTACTAATATTATAAATGTATGTTTGCTCGTTTATTTAACTGTTAATTTTACTGTTCAGCTAATCGTCATGTGTGATATACACATAAAAAGGTGTCAGTAATAAATAATAATGGTCTTATTAACGCCATCTGACGACATTATTAATTATTATAGCTAGATTAGAAATCACGTATCTATAGACAACATATTCTTTTAAAAACAAATGAACAACCAAGCATGTATTAGAAGTTTATAAAAAATACAATAAAAGATGTAAACTTTCAACTGAATAACGTTTCGTTTTTATTGTATTTAAATTTTTTAAAAAGCGCCATCTCTGATTGTATGTAGTAATCTAGCTAGATATTTGAAAGTTTTAGATATTGTTATAGATGTCTCTGTAATACATATTGTCTATACATGGAAGATATTTCAAAAAAAAAAATATAAATTCGTCTTAATAATACCAATAGATACCTAAGTATAATTTTTAAAAATTTTATCTGTCTATATGTTTGTTCCGGCAACTTGCAAAAACTACTGTAAATAAATTGGAAGCGGTATTCAATTTTGTTTCAGAAGGTCTAACTTAGATTTTTTTTTAATGGGTGAAAAAGAAATAGTAACCACCCCGCCTGCACTAATGGTTGTTAACGTTGGTGAGGAAGTGGAAGATGAAAATATACAGGAGAACCGAGTGGAGGTCGACCTGAGAGCGTATATTGCTAGCAATGGGGCTATTTAACCTCATTACTAACAATCCCTCTAACTTAGAATTTGGTGTATTTTTGTCTTGATACGTCATTTAAAAATGCCCCAATTCATTGATACTACTTTTGAAATGCACACGAAGTAGCAGGGGAAAAGCTGGAATCATATTTTTTTTTATTTATTTCATGTGCTGTGAGCCTGTGAGTATCCTTACTAAGATTTTGCATGTGAAAGTGAATTTGTTTGTTACTTTATAGCGCCTTAACGCCTTAACCAATCATTATAAAATTTGGTATACATGTACTATATGGGATAATGGGATGGAGAAGAATATAGGTTACTTTTTACCGCGGTCAGTAAATATATTCCGGTCACGCTGACGCAAAAGGCAGAAAAAAACTGGTATAATTATATTTTAATAAAACAACAGTATTATTTAATATTAACTATTCATATATTTCAATAGTATCTCTTATTATTATAAACTATTTCTTCTAACGCTCCGCGCTCGCAATATTTGGTTTAAATGTAAGTGAAGACGAATCAACAGTTAGTCAATCAACTCAACTACAATCAACAGTCGAACAAAATCCAAAGGATTACATTTAATAATGAAACTAAATGTAAACTTAGACAATAGTGTTAGCATACTCCGTCAACGTACTTCCAAACAGATCGATATTACAAAAGTAACCAGAAATATGAGACACATTGATAATTACAGGCCACGATAGGTACATTGTAGCATGATCTAATAGTGTAGTTAGAAAATAGATGCATGCATGCTCAAATTAGCTGTAGGAATATTCATTTCTAGCAAAGCTATAGAAGTGTTAAGAATAAATGGAACGATTTCAAAGTAATATTTTTTAATTAAGTTTAATTTTTCCATATTTTTACTGTAACATTTTAGTTGTTTATTGCAGTGCTAGAAATGAGATATTATTATTATTATGAATACTGCTTTTAATAACGTATATTTTTATGGGCATGTGCCATCTAAATATACGTTATAACAGTGACTTTAGAAATTAAAACTGTTTTTACTCCAGTAACAATTATATATATACGTATGTCATTATTTCCAGTTCATTTTTATTAACCCTACAGTATAGTTAAACTAAACGTTCTAGTATAGTTAAACTGTATATCAGGTCACCACCCCGGACAGTACAATCATAAATACTGGTTCATCTTTATTACGGTAATAATAATAATAAAAAAAAAACTATACTATTTAGTGGGGAATGTTAACTTTGGTATAAAATATTAATTTATAAACAACAAAACATTAAAACTCAAAGACACTCGGTAAACGAAACTTAAATCAAGCATAAATTAAGAAAATACTGTTTAATTGTATACCCTAATTCCAGTTGAAATATATTTACAATAACTGGTGAACTTAAATTTGTATACTTAAAAGAAAATAATAATCTATAAGTTATTTGTGGTGATATTTGCGAAAAAAATTGCACTGTGCAATGAATATCAGCGTTATACTAATAAATAATATATATAATAATGTACTAACTGGGAGGTTTTATACAATAGAAATTCAAACCATGTAACATAGTATACGATCATATAAGAATTTCCTAATGCATCATATATATTTATATATAGGCTTTCTAATATATATCAAGGCTATGTAAATAGGTACCGTTTTTTCTAAATAGAAGATTAGATGTCTTTAATTTTGATAGTGAATGCCTTTCACACTTAGCAATAAACTATGTAAACCAACGATATAAAATATTGATTTGTGATTACACAAATATCAATTTCACATTGATTTATAATGATAATATACAAAAGACCACGTCAAGGCATTCTAGACGATAACAATCACATTTATAGCTCCATTAATAGTTAAACTAATTTACCCATAGACTACAATGAGAGTTGCCTCTCTTAGTTTAACTACAGTGTTGCCATGTGCACATAAAATACTCTACACAATTATGCATGTGGATCATATTTTTTTTTTAATATAAATTTACTAAATCGCCTATTGATTTGTAAATATTTATCATATATAAGAAACACTTCTATGGAGCGCGTATTTTACAATGTTATAATCAAAGAGATACTAAGTGAAGAAGAGCAAACGAAGAAATCTCTTATGTATTACTTATAGATCTGTATTCTCTTACAAATTCTCTCTGTATTTATTCATATTTATTTCGGATGATTACATGATAGATATTACAAAAATCTCTAACACAAGAAAACACTTTTTCGGGAATAGCAGGTGCCATGTATGCTATTATGCATGCCGTATGATCCTGGCATAAAATATTCTACACCTTTCTTCCTCGTAGGTGTCGTAAGAAACGACTAAGATGGACCGATCGACCGACTAAGATGGATAGATCGATGGACCGTCCCTCTTAAAATATTATCAAAGCCTAACTGCGGTTGCCAAACCGCCTGCCAAGCGTGGCAATTACTGGCAACATTTTCCTTATGGTGGAGACCTATGTTCAGCAGTGGATGTGTATGGTAAGTTTATGTATATATGTATAAGCAGGTCGAATTATATATTATATATCTATCTGCAGTACCATAGTTTAATATACATTTGCATTACATTTAAACAAGTTTATAAAAACTTGAAAGAAATTGTAACATTTATCAAATTAAACGGTAACAAACAAGTACTATTCTATACTTGTACCTTTAAAGATTAAGGTATCAAGAATTATTACGAATAAGTTCCTTCATCATCATCTTTCGTTTGCACTTATTCACTTGGCATAAGTAAAAAATCAATATACATTATGTATAAACAGTACAATATTTTGCTAAGTATACACAGTAATAAAAATCAGTTTACAAAGAATTATTTATACTTTATCACAACATTTACAAAGCGATTGACTGAACCAGGCCAAGCACTAATATTTGTCGCACATCGAAGATTAGTTACGACAAAATGTCATAACACTCTGCGATAAAATCACAGTGACAAAAATTTGTATAAATGCTGCAATAAATATTATTGTTGTAGCTTTAGTATTTTTAATGTGCGACTTTTGAAACACTTCTCCCTCCTACCAGCTCTCTAGAGAAGAACAAATGAATCAATTTAATTTGGTAGTTGTACCGCTTACACAATCAAAAAAGAAAGAGACAACATGATCGAAATCTCTTTTACTCCCATGTGTGTGTGTGTGAGTAATCATATTTAGATACACTCGATTAGGGCTGATCTAGAGGCAGGTATGGAGACAAAGTTGGTATTCAAAATTAATGCGACCTGTGTTCATAGCAGACAGTTGGTTCTTATAAAACGACATATAAAAGATCTGAATTAATATTATTTAGCTATAGAAATTCGTAATACCTACCTCAGTACAAGTATGACATCAATTTCAGTCAAGCTATGACATGAAAAACTGGGATAGAATGGAAGAAATAAAGATAAGTTTGATGTATCTGTCTATATAGTCGTACATTGAAGTTAATTTATGATATGGTAGAAAATATAATTTAGGAGGCCTATGCTCAGCAGTGGGCAGATAATGGATAAGGTAATGAGAGAATTTAATTATTGCATAATAAAGTAAAAGCAATAAGTCGAACACAGCAGTTGAAATCTACATATTGAAAACATGATATAAAACAACGCGTATGGGCATCACATGTCTGTTTCCTAATAGAGATATGCAAGAAGCAATATGTCTAATTTTTCAAAAGTATTATATACAATCAGCAACATAAGTATATCAACGCTGGAAGAATTGTTATGTAAAAAATAAAATAATTTTGTGAATCTACGAGTATCTACCTAATTATCTGTATATTGAAATTAGACAACCACATTTTGGTATGCCAAATACAAATACAGGAATTATACCATTAACAGGTAGGTACCATACTTTCACTTTTGTTGCTGGCTGCCTTTATTTTGCTACAAAATTCGCTGGTTAAATAAATTTACAAAAAATAAAATCAAGATCAAAACAAAATGTCAAGATTTTTTTCCACATAACAAACATTAAGTAAGTCATCCTTAGTATCTCGTTAGAAAACTTTTCTAAGCATTATTTGTTATATATTTATCTTTCTTTTTTTTACTCTAATCCAAGAAAGATAGCTAATTTTAGCCTCAGATCCGTTAAATAAATTATCAAAACATTAAGACACAAAACTTTAAGAGATCAGCCGGCGATATATATTAGATTAACGCCAGTCACTGCGTTTTAAGTTCACGAAAGGCAAAGACTACCTTAACGCGATTAAATAGAGTCGAAATTAATAAAATAAAAATTTAGTACATAATATCTAAGCGGTGGATTCATGCGTTGATGGATTCGCAATGATGGTGCCGGCTTGTTGGTCACGCAATCGTCTCACTTCTCTAGCGGTGGCTGCTAATTCCGCTTGCAGCGACATTTCTCTTTCTCGGAGGCATTTTATCTCATTTTGCCATGTCTGAAAATTAAATTGAATTTTATTAATCGTGGAGGTTATTTTTATGAATTATAATGGAATTGTTACTGCTAATTGCCTGCGCTAACGGTGTACACTGGCGGGGCATCAGTGAGGGATGAGAGGTGAGAATGAAATGGGATTTGATTGCTTTTTATCTATTTTCCCTCACTATGCCTCGTCTACCATTATACCTCGCGCAGACGGAATTACCATTCGAAGATTATCAATTATTAAAAATCCATGCCGACAGCTATTGTACGGCCTCCTTTTGGTTATTATTTCAAAGACATGCATACTTACAATATTCTGTTTCAGCAGATCTAGTTTATCGTTCTTCAGCCGGCACACCTCCTGTCTGAGGAGTTCAGCGTCACCCCGCGCGGCCGCGAGCGGCTCGCCGCGTCCCTGTCCCGCGCCCCCGCCGCCTCCACCGCCGCCGCCCGCTTCCGCTGACGACATAGATTCTAATCCCGTGTCACTGTCCACGTACACTCCACCTATAAATATATTTATATATTAATCAAAGATTATCTTTAATATTTAAAAGAAATAGGAACAATCTTAAATTATACGTTGACAAGTATCGAAGCCTATATTGATTGTTACACCCATTTCAATAAATTTTTATCTGTTGGATGTGACGCGGTGCGTTCAGCTACTGAGTTAATATGAAGAGCCCTAAATGTTTTCTGAAGTTTTGAAGTTTTTTTGACTCGATTTTCTTTGGCAAGTCTTCACTTTCGCTGGTAGAATACATACTTTACTCCTTTAACGAATGCCAATTCGATTTTAATTTTGTATCATACAGATTATACCCCAGAGAAATGTATTAAATATGTTATTATTTGACAAGGTATATAGTATTAAGGAGAATTGTACCATTTGGATTATGAAGAGACAAATTTATTATAAACAAGTCAACCACTAAATTTGCAGTTGATGTTGTTCAAAAAGTTGATTATTTTTTTAGGTTTATATATCTTTTTAGCAACATGAGTAACAAGTTTTTTTTCTGCGAAGAAGTCGCCTGGTGAATTGAGAAGCATATCTAACTGTTGATGCTCTAACATGCACATGACAGTACTAGATAGATACGTATTACTTTCATTACTTAATAATTATTTTATCACATGGCATGCTCATATTAAATTCAATGAAGACGGAGTGAATTTAAATTATACTTTAGCAGCATATTTTATTATTATTGTGAATAGGATAGGAACAGGTACTATGTATACAGGGTGTAAGGGGCAGGTTGGCAAAAACTGAAACAGTGAATTCAGACCTTTATTCTGAACTGAAAACCAATAGAAATTATTTTCGAATAATTTTAAAAAAATCCTTTTTTTTATTTAAAATCATGTAATTTATGATATTATGTCGTAATATAAAGATATAACAATATTTTTGGGGGAAATACTAAGAAATACCAAAAAAACTGCAATGTAATACACATATTAAAATTCTACCCTTATTCCCTGTATAATTTTTACTTTTATTATATAAAAAATATTATGTTAAATACTAGAAATTGTTGGCACCTGAATTAAATTAATTCACTATAACTACATTAACTCATAATTGAACGCAGTTTCAATTAAAATATACGATATGAGCTGCTGAATTGTTCAAATTCACTCCAACTATTTCTCTTCAAAGTAAGCGAACATAAATCTATCTACACTCTACAATAAACAGTGTCTACAGGACTAACCTGCTGTACATTTACCACAACTCAGCCAGTCCTTGTCGTCTAATTTGAAACAAAAATGTCCAATTCAATGTCAATTACGAATCTAATTAACGATCTACCCTAATGATAATGATCTTGTTGGGTATTGATGATCGAATTAATATTTTGTATTGACGAATTCGTGAAATATCACTGTCTACAATGATTGATATACCATGATCTAATTAAAATACAATGAGGTTAGAAGCTTCTCTAATTGATCTGATAGTTCGTACATTTTTTATAAATATAAATCTGATAGTACGATATTAGAAAGATTTATTCTGATGCAATTTTAAAGAAATAATGAAAGCTTTATCTTTGCCTCGCTATTAAATTTATATTGAATATTGTATTCAATAACCTTGTTTTATAGTTTTTGTACCAATAAGTGAATTTAGTGAGCTAATTGGCATGAAGCGTAGTATTTTGCTTCTTACTCTTACTTACCTTGTGTTATTTTAATTATAATAAAAGAGATGTTTAAGAAATATACGAAACCTAGAGCCAGTCAATGTACTCGTATAAAAAAATAATCCCTAGCAAATTAGAAATGAAACATCTTAACAATATTTTAGATGTTATTTATTATTCTACATTTACATAAAATGTGCCATGACGTAACAATCATAAAAAAGTAACTAAAATGCCAATTATCTAGTTAGTAACCTTGTTCTATTTTTGTAATAATCCTTGTAATTTTCTCTATGATTTGATATACTGCACAATGACGTGGCCTAACATCTTCTTTTTAAATCAAAGAAATATTAATTTGTCATCAAGGTTTCAGCTCTTGTTGTACAGACAGTGCCTATTTAATAATAATAATAAAAATTCATTAACTAACCAAGAGGGTCCAAATCAACAGAATTGAGACTGGAGTCGTCACTGTGGTCGAGTGGGGGACGTGGGGGGGCGGCACGTGACGTCACGTCCGGGCTGGACTCGCCGGAGCCACCCGCTGAACGCACGGACACTGCACTCGCTGATGACGATGTAATTGATGACTTCGAGCGACCGCTCTGAAATAGTAAAAATTAAGAATAAAAATAAAATTTCTAATAACCACTGCATCCGCTAAAATACTACAATACATTTTCTATGATAATTTCTTGGATAAAATTTTCCAAACTTAGGCAATTTAATATATCGCCTTTTATTGATTTTTTTGCATGAAAATGTTTCGTTTATAGGTAAAACACGTGTCTCAAAAAATATGTGATTAAAATGGCAGTCGGAAAATTGATGGCTAACATGAAACATTGTAAACTTCTGGTAGTAATAACAATGGTCAAGTTTCGAGTGTTGACAGTCACACACACACTAATGGTAACGGAATTAAACAAAATAATTTTAATCAAATAACCAGTGATATGATATGATCTTCCACAAGATAAAATCTAGTTTAGTAAAATATTTAGTAATATTATTATATTGAGCATTATGGGTCCTATTGGACGCAGCAAGTAATATACGAAACGATAATTTTAATGAATTTTTATTATAACAAATATATTTTTCAATTACGAGATTCATTTAGAGACTAATACTTACATTAGGAGTGTGCGTTTCATGCGCAGGCAACTTGTTCTTATTAAATGTAACCTTGTTGCTATCCCCAGAGAGATTCGTATCTACACTCGGTGACCTGGAACTGTGAAAAAAACTAATGTTAGTATACTAAATATTGAACGATAGAGAAATATATAAAAGATTGTGTCCCACAAAAGAGCTGACTATAATTGAAAAAAAACCAGTCATTTTGATTTAAAAACTAAACTAATAAACCGATTTTGATAAAAATTTCTATGGTACCAATCTTTTCACATAAAAAAAGAATTTTCCAAATCGGTTAAGAACTAGAGTTACGAGATAGCAAATATAAAAAAATAAAGAATAAGAATAGAATTAAGAACTACCTTCTTTTTTAAATTGGTTGAAAAGTTTAAAAAATTGCACGAAAATGTGAAAAATTTAGATTACATAATCTTTATATAAAAAAAACTGTGTGAGTGAGCGAGAGGTAAGATTTGGTCTCTTTTTCTTCATTAATATATTAGTTGTAATCCGAGGCAGGTAGTTAGTGAATAATAAATGTACTTTATAAGATCTAATGGTCGGTATTTTGACATGCAAGTCTACTGACTTGGTGAAAAGGTTAATCATTAATGTGGTAACATCAAGAGGTAACCTTTTCATGTTACTGACTTACGCTTTCAAACACTGACACACTGCTTGACTATAATATATCATTATAATCATTAAATATAATTTAAGAAGATCAACGGCATACAATTCAGTTTCCTCTTTATATTTGTAATTCTATAGAAGTTAAGAGTTCTATTATGATAAATTCTTAATGAATGAGGAAGTTTTTCTAGGACAATCTCCATTACCTCCTTAGTGCTGTAATAGGTAAGTTGGTTTTATGCAATTGAGGCTCTGGTTGCAATTGAGGCCGATTTTTATTCGGGATAAATCAGAAAATATTTTCTTTTATTTGCCCAATTTGTGATATGCAATTGGTGCAATACAACTGTATCGCATTTCACTTATTAACTTTATTCATATTATAAATTAGAACCTATCTTATACGGATTTATGGGTATTTATTTATAATATTAAGATATTAATATTGCTAACTTATAATGCATTACCAACCTGACTTTTGAAATTAACGCTTTCTTGACTGTATCAATAAACCTAGCACCTGGCCCATCTTGTTTCGGGGTTAGATCTGGTTGCGGGGATACTGCCCCAGCGTCTATCCTCACACCCGTACCAAGAAACTCCATGGTTTTACCCTTCAAATCTTCAGCCAAATTCTGTAGCAGCGAAGATCTCGTTCTTAATTCGAGTTGGGCGAATTTCTCAGCTTTGTAGCACGCATTCTCCGCGTTTATGAGTTTTGTGAGGAGAAACTCTTTGAATTCTCGCCCTTTTCGGAACACTGGCGGCTGGGGGAGAGTCGGAGAGAAAAATGGTACGTCCCCACGAGCGGTGACGGCCACCTTGTACCTGGAAAAGAATAGAAACATTGATTAATTTAAAGATTGCATGAAACATAAAATTAATGAGCCGGCATAGTGCGGTTTAAACATTAAACCATTAAAATGAATCATTTTCTTTTCGGTTGATTGTATTCATGGGTTATATTGTCTCTGTGTTCGCTGAGGACGGTGTCATATGTCGTGTAATAAAAAAAAGAAACATACCTAACTTACATATATAAACTAACTTTTTTTATAGATACATACATATATAAGTATGTAATGTACTTGAATTTTGGTATGGCAGATAATTGCGACTATTTGTTTTTTTCTTTTTCTTTATTTAGATAAAAAACTAAAATGTTTGCTACTTATACTGATTTATTCCGTTGCATATTTTTCTATACGAATGTTAAGTGGTATCTTCAGTATTTTCAATCGATATCGATGATTCTTTTTATAATAACTCAGTAAAGAATATGATTTTACATAAATTAAATAAAATAGCTAACTTCATTATTTTTATTAACAAATACTACAAATTAACTATTCTTTACGTTTTATGTAAAATTATGTATTTCTATGTAGTGGAAAGAACGAAATTTTAAATATTATAATCAGAAATTTGATAAATTAGTAATATAACTGTATCTACACAAAATATCTTATAAAAATGTCAAAGAAAGGAAATTATCTATTTTGAGCATTCACGTAATCTATTTTAGGCGTTTAAAACTCGACTTCTACAATTGTATTAACTTTAATGCCGTAACTAAACGAACGACAAAAAATACATTTAAACTAAAAATATCTTACAACAAGTGCTTTCAATTCACAAGGTAAGTTTAGTTTTTGCTTTAATATAGTTTATACTATTATCAGAGAATATGAATGTGAGTTTGTCTAAGCGACATAGTATTTTAACGACTAAAACACAAAGCTAGTTTAGTTAATTATGGGCTGAAATTCTTCTAAATCCAACAAAGGATACTGAAAAATGACTTGTAATGAAATAATACTTAGAATGAAAAACAATCTGACGGCCCACCTGATAGAAAGTGGTTTACTCTCACTTATAGAAATGAACATTATTTGTATCATGTCAGTGATATTATTAAAGGACTTGTTGGAAAACCAGTGGCACTAATAGTGAATATAATATTACAGTGTTATGCAAAAAACCTTTTTTATACCACTAAGGTGGCAAACAAACATACAGTCTGTCTAATGGTAAACAGTCTCTGTAATTTTTGGACGTCTGCAACACTAGTCGATTGAGACTAGTGACTGACGAAACCTTAAAACAATAAAATACCTTAATACATTCAACTAACCTTAGGTAATTTTTCTATAATTTCTTCGTGCATGTTAAATTGTCCAATTTACATCATAAATTTTTCTTGATAGAAATTATTCAAATTACACACCGGAATTTAAATTTAATTACTTAATTATAATTAACAAGATATTTACATTTAATGCAACAATTCAGTTATTATCAATCAGAATATTTAAATAAGAAAAATGAGACATATCTTTTCTCAAGAAACACATTTTCCCACTTTATTTTTCATATTTACCGAAAATAAAAAAAAATAAACTTTATAATTACTTACAGTACAGAGTTGCGTTTCGTTTGCATATAAATTAACCACGAGAATTTCCATTCCACTTTCCAAGCTATTTTCTCTACTTCTCCATGCAAATAATACTCGGCTACGTTGTTTAAAAGACACAAACTTTATGTTAAAGAAGTCGCATTGTAAGTATAAGACGTAAGGGACAGACGAGGTATGGAATTAAAAATAGGATGATAAATAAACATGCGGAGAATGCTTCTGTCTAGTTCGTATTAACTGTTACTAGCATCTAGCATAGAAATCGTTGTAAATACACGGATTAGAAATGCGCGCATTACCGTAACTGTGAATAATTTAAGTGGTTGGCAACAACCAATATTGCAGTAATATTATTTGGCGTGTTTATAAGAAAATTTAAACATTACAAATTTGCTGATCCGCCTGTGTCCAAATTAATGAACAGCTCACAATTTAAAGCAAATTACACAATATATTTAAAATTTATACAGTAAGTAAAAATTGCATTACAAAAAACTAGTATGTCTTAATAACAGGTTTATTTTTTTTATATTCACAATACACATTTTAGTTGAAATAAAATTAGTTTGAGATAATCTCAGGTACAAATTATATCAATTACAAAAAGAATGATAAAAATTGGCAACAGAAATGATGTAAAAATAGATAACGAGGCACCAAACATAAGTTTCTATTCATGCATTCAAACACTATTGAAGTCGGTTGTGAATAAAGAGACTATACGCGTAAATAATGAAATGCATAACTTCAAGCTGAAAGGAAACTGAATAAATAATATACCTATCCTATGTATATTATTTATTCAAATTGATTTGTACCTACGTTTATGTGAATCGTGCTGTATAAAATTCGGTCCTCGCATAATATATGTATACATAGACGATACTTTATTGCTAAATAAAAACAAACGGGGGAAAGAAAAATAATAATACCTGGTCTCCCCGCCGGCCGTCTCCATAGGCGTAACGACGATGAATGCGTGGAGAAAATGTGAGGCGATCATATCTGGCGTGAATGGAGTTGCCTTTTCCTGTGAAGTATCATAAAATATAATTTGAATTTGATTAGAGATAAGTATGAACTAAAAGATGACGTAGTGGCAAAGATTGAATAGGAGATGTTGAGTCAATTCGATTATTTGGAAAGGATGAATTCTTACTATTATAAATGTGAAAATGAGTTTGTTTGAGACTTTATAGCGCTTTACCATTTTAACCAATTACAATACTATAAAATTTGGTATGCACATATTATATGGAATGGAGAAGGTCAAAGACTATTTTTTATCCCGGTCAGTAAACATATCTCGGTCACGTGGACAAAAATGCGGGAAAAGCTAGTGGAAAGAGTAATTAAGAAAGAGATATTTCGAGCGTGAATGCGTGAGGATGTCAGTGGGGTTGCCCTAGATGGACGTACGTCGACTAAATAAGTGATGTACTGAAAAAAGACCAAGACAAAGGAATTCGTCACTGGCAAGTATGTATGAATAGACTGATAAATGTGGAGGTGAAAGATGCTTGATTTTGATTTGGAGCATTTGACATTCTACTGTTTTCTCCAGTCTCAATGGAGGCAGATGTGCAAGTGTGTATGTACTGCATATATTTAAAGTTTAATTCTTGTTATTACTAGCCGTATCCTATTGCTATACTCACGTGAATTAGAATAACAATTGGACGCTACAGTCACAAACACATGTTTATTACTGTCGCATTTATTTTATATTGTTGAAATGTATAATTATTTTTTCATATTTTGGTTCTTTTTAATAATATTTAGTAATTTAAAAATAAAATAAACTTTTTTTTTAACAAATATTTGCTGCGAATGGATTGATGCCAATGCAATTTATTCATATTTTGTACAAGTTGAAATGTAAATCTACCTACGCAATTGCAACATTTTAATTTTTACCTATTTGTCGCTGGAAGGAAGTAGTATCTATTATACAGGCTCGTCCTAGTATAGATGCTACTGGTAAATCACATGTATGATGCGTATTTGACAAAAATGTAATAGTTTTTAAGAAGAATAACTGTAACTACTTAAATTAGTGTCAATAAAATATATTATAATTATTGTTATATTAAATAATATGGAATAGGAGCTTACTTGAAAAACAATAGCCACAATGTCGTTTCCAACGTGTCGTTTCCTCTGGAGCTGTTGAGCATCTCCAGCGGTATGTGGCAGTAGCGGAGCCACGTGGAACATGATCTCTCTATTGTGGTATTGCTCGTAGACCGCTTCAGATCCTGTGTGGCCGTTCATTATGTCCAAGCCACCTCTGTAACCTTTGGAATAAATATAAAATTAAAAATATTAAAACAATTAAGTCTTGGACTCCTATAGACTTATGAGAATATTACCAGCCAGTTTCAGTCTTTCTCTTTTTAAATTGAAAAAAAAAAAGTAGAACACAAACACATAACAATAAGTAGCTGTTTATTTGAATAGGTTTTTGGATCTTTGATTTTAAAACATTAACTTCTACGACTTAAATATAGTGTTCGCTAATTAAATGCTTTAATCTTCAAAATGACCCACATACATATCAATACCATGTGGTTTTCCTTTATATATTGTAGACATAATCGCAGTAATATTCCTGTTTATATAGGCATATATTTCCTGGTATTTAATCAGTGAATCACACAATACAGTACACCTTACTGAATAAAGAAATTAAATGTGACATTTACAGTTTCTGTTTTGACAATAATTAAATAGGTAATTATACAAATAACAATAATAAGTATAAATAATCAAGTAATAATAACAAGTTAATCGATGCATAGTTTATGACGCGCTAGGTGAAACACTAAAATAATTAATTTTATGAACATTTTGTCTTTGGGATCTGGTAAAAGTATCTAAAAAAATAACGGTGATAACAAATGAATATATGAAAATATAAGATAGAAACACAAGATAACATAAGTGTTACCTTTATGATCTTTCAATTTTATTCTTTGTCCGAGCATTTCGAGAAACTCGTCAAAAACGGGCGATGTTTCGTTGTTTCCAAACAATTCTTCCTCAGTAGTCTGACCGTATTTCTGATAAAGTACTCCAAATTTGAAACTGTTCACTAACACGTGTTCATCGTACGCCGCGATCAATTGCGACGCATTTAAACACATGACAGGCATGAAATTATCTACATTTACTTGCTCGTTCAGCATTTTGGCCATTTTCAGAGGTGATGGCGTCATGCTCGATCCTGAAATAAAAAAAAAATAATTTAAACATACAAGTTGAAAATAATTAAAAACATTTTTAAATTAAAACGAAAAAAAAAGTTTAAGTTTTGAATTTAAATTTGAATGTTGAAAACAATTTAAAAAAGAACAAAATGAAATAAAAATAACAATAAGTCTTATTTACTTGTGGTGGGTATAAGTCCATGCATAGTTTCTGTTCGGAGTCTCAAGAGTATCCTCGTGTGGTCTTGTCCAGCTACATGCTCATTTTTGAGGGAGATCACCACGGGGCTTTGGTTTTCATCTGTTCCAACCAAATTGATGTGTTCCTGCAACAAACAATATATAACAATTATAATAGTCTTAAAGGAAAAAAGTTATTATATTTGTTAAATTGTTTCTTTTTTTTATATTTGTTAAATTTTATTATAAGGTGTAGAACATTAAGCTAAGATTAGGTTATTAACTAGAATAAATTAGGAATGTGTAACGTTTTTTACGAGATGGTAATACTTGTACACATATTTTCTAATTTTTAGATACCATCTAGTTACATACTATCGCCTTATCTATATTTGTGAATTAATATGTTTTAAAATTACTGTGTGTAACAATAAGCTCAAAATATTAGTGCCTAGGACTGAAAACTTTAAATCCTTAAAGTGTTTTAAGATATCATGTTTGCTTCAACGAGGTGTTATACCTATGGGGCATAAAAAGTGGTTACTACATCCTATTGGTTTAATAATATGGAACATTTCTATACCTAACCAAAACGTAGTCGATAAATACACAATTAAATTTAGTCATGACACATGTTGCATGCACCTACAGGAAAATGCTGTTAATTAAGAATGTAATAACCGAGTCAATATTGGTCGTCACAAGAATCATAAAACGTCCGCCAGTCACGCCCATGTCTATAAACCCTCACGGAATTTGATAGCATAACAATATTTATAGCAACGAAGGTTGTTGTTAAAGGTAATGCTGATTCTCTGTTTAATGGAATTTTTCTACGTTTAGAGGAACACTCGAATTGCTATTCACATGTTAATGTTTTCAAAGTCCAAGTATTTAATTTGTCTGATGTCATATTTTTAACGTCACTATCTTGAAAATGATACTTACGCTTTTTTGAAGAAACAAAGGCCATGTTATTACACGCTTTTATTTACATTAAATATAAAAATCTTCTTTTTCTACATAAATATAATACTTGCAATTTGGGATATTAACGAGTTGATCTTGTTATGATTTTAGAATAAGTGGGTTATTGCAACGATTTAGTGAACATTTTCAATACTAACAGTTATTGTTTAAGTATGCGATTATAAACTTAACAGTGGAGAGATGGGCAACAGCGTCCCTCTTAAAACATTACCAAAGCCTAATTGCGGTTGGCAGTCCGCCTGCCAAGCATAGCAACTACTGGCAGAACTACCATAATGTGAGAGGTTCATGTTCAGCAGTGGACTGATGGTTGATATGATGATGATGATGATGATAAATCACAGATCATAGGACAGGATCTTCTTTCAATATGATTTATACTAGTATTTATTCCATAAATCTACAATCTATTGTTAGTCGATAATTATACTCTTGATGAAGTTTTAGAGAACATAAAATAATTGCAACAAAAACAACTATTGTCTTATAGTGTGAGGGTCAAGTAAATCTTTTGTAACAAAAACAAAGACGTCTTAATCGCTATAGGAAATGTTAATTATTGGAATACATTGTTTCATTAACCTCGTCAGTCCCTTTTTTCTCATGTTCAGAGATCTTTGAAGGTTTTTAATGGAACTCTATCTAGCATCTGTAAGTTTAAACTACTTTATCTATGTTGTTGTTTTCACGTATTTATCTATACGGTTGCTAATAAAAGTACTATTTGTTTTTCTTTTTTTATTCAGTTCGTGATTCCTTTTTGATTTGTATTAAAATACTGTATTAACTAAAGCTCACAAATTTGATCTACCTTTACCTATTTATATACTGATTATAAAAGTAGGTATAGATTTTTTATGCAACTTAGAATAGCAAACAAGCTGACAGCCCACCTAATGGAAAGTGGTTACTGTCACCTATAGGCATGAGCAGGACCATGAACATAACAGATTATAATGATTCACCTATGATACCCCTCACACGTTGCCATTGCTGGGGACTCAGATGATATTCCTCTGTACCCTGTAAATTCACTGTCATATGTAGGATATCACAGAGAGACCTTTAATCGAAAACACAGCTATACAAACACAACTGCTTCATGGTAAAAATACGAATGGGACAGAGATGCCATAGCAAACGACTTTTGTACAAAGTCTCCCTCTAGTAATGTGGTATGTTGTGAACTTATCAACTATATTAGTAAATTGGATTCTTTTTATATTGTATTGGTACTTGTGGATATGTGATTAACTCAATGCAATCAGCGTGTAAGTGTGAACTACTTCCTGTTACAACTAAGAATCGATGCCAGGAAGTCATTAGGTACTGCACTTTGCCAACTGAATTAAAAGTACTATTTGTTGAACGAAATGTTTATAGACAGAACATTAAGTGTTTCAATTGAAATGTGCTCTTTATATAAGACGAATAACGAAAAACATTTTTTTTTTATTATTACATTGATCATAATTGCACCTATTTTGAATTAAAGTATATTCAAAATTATGCAGCGCAAGTACAAATTTTGCAGTTAATTTAACAGCGAAACTTACAATACCTACTTTTCAGATTTTTATCTTTAATTGGCCAATATAAGACTTGTCCTTTAACGTCTCCGCAAAAAGGCAAATTGAAATCTAAAGACGGTAATTGCAGGGACGTGGGGTTAATGCCCCTTTTCCGAAGGCACTGACGGATTACATCATCCCATAAGGAATCTGCCGGAAACATTTTTTCAAGCTCGATGAGTGAAAATACTCTATTCAAAGGATCTGCAACGAATAAAGATTACGCCTTGATAGATGTTTGGTAAATAGCTTGGCTAATATTTTATCAATAGAACGATGACGTGAAAAATGTCACAATATTTAAAGGCAGTATCGATTACATTGATTGAAAACATATCATTTCGTGGAAATGATAATTTAAGAAAATCGAGATATAAAACTAGTAATAGATAGAGAACTAGTAATTTTCAGAAACACTAGTAACATAATAAAGATTATAAAGGTTGTAATCTGGTGGTATGTATGACTATATCCGATAATTATAAGTTATCATTTTTGCTACCAACAAATCCTTACAAATATTATAAATAAATAAAAAAATATGATCCCTATTTTTAAAAATTGGCATATACTTAACATCTGAAATGAAATTAACCTACTTTTTATTCACATGACCAAAATCGTGATAAACATAACTTAATAAGAAGCCTAAATTGCTGTTTGGAAATAAGTAAAAAGCAATTTAGTATAATTATAATCAAACTTATAATAATATTGCTCCAGAAGAAAATATACTTAATCTTGTCAAGGCTGAAATAAATAATATGGATTAAGTAATTTGAAAGAAGGTTCAATCGATTAGGATCGACGACTACTCTATCATTTATAGAAATAGGTTCACGATCAAAAGATTTTCCATTCCGACCTCCCGCCTTATTGGGTCGTCTATGTCGAAAACGGTAATCATTTCTGAGAAAACATCATTTTACTGAAGGAATTGTCCTCGGACGAATTTTTCGTTTTGATGGAGGCATTTGCTTATTGCTTCTCACTTTTCTATTGTTAGTTGCGGACATCTGTCTTCGTCACTGATTTAAACGACGCGGCAACCGAATGAATCAAAATAAATTATGATTTGAAAAGATTCGATGAATTTTAATATTATTAATAGTTCCTTTACATATTCAAGTGATAAATTAGACATTAGACTATAAATAAATCCTGGATTTAAAACACCATTTCGACTGGAAACTGTATGATGATGAACTTAATATAATTTATGCTGTGTTTGGTAGTAATTTGTTACTGATCTTCTCATTATAAACTATAAAATATTAATATATTGTACTTAAATGTGTCCCTATAAATATTTATTATACGCATTAACTTGGCATATTAGCAAATGTATTGATATTTCAATATTTATATTTTTTTGCAAAATTTGTATTCTATAAATTCTAGAGCTATTTAAGCGAGTTCTTGTCGAATTATATTGGTTCACACTTTGTAGATAGCATAAATTAATGGAAAATTCCCCTGCGACCTGCTTTTCACAGGAACATTCGTTATGTGATACGGTAATAGCCGTGACGTATTTACACGTCAACCTTCCAGGGGTATCGGCTTAGCGATCAGGACATCGCATTCATCTAGCCTAAGCCCAGAACCACAATGACCCATTGAGCTTTACGGGTTGACGCGGTAACGATTCTAATATTTTATGCAAACGATGCGCAATAGAATTACGGTCGGGGTTAAGTGTTTCTGGTTTTAAATGTTGCCATTGCTGTTCTATTGCATGTTGTAGTTAAAACAAGAGGTATTAATTGGAATCAATTTAGGATCATCATATCGTCATAGCAGCCTTTAACTATCCATTGCTGAACACAACCCTCCCCTTTAGGGGATTAGCTAGTAGTTACCACACTTGGCAGGAGGATTGCCAACCGCAGTTAGGCTTTAGAGATGTTTAAAGAGTGGCACTGCTGTCCATCATTCGCCCACTCTTAGTCGCCTCTTACGACATCCACGGGAAAAGAAGGGGTGGCTTATTCTTTGGCGGGACCACACGGTCAAAATTTAGGATAGAATAGGTAAACGAAAACATGTAACTATTTTGTATTGTAATGTCTCGTTTTATAGTCTCATTTATTAGGACAATTATTATAACTTAATAGGGCTGTTTATAGGAATATTTTCAGCATCATTTTATAATTCTACAATAAATCACAACAGAAAATTTTAAGTACTTTTTAAAATATGTTGTGTTTATTAATTACAATTATAATATTATAATTATAACCTATTACGGCCCAAATTATTAAATGGACCTGTTTTGTAATAAGTGTGCAACATGCATGTATTTAATATTAATAAAAAAATTTACTTTTAAATGTAAGAACAAATAAAATTTATAATAAATTCTTCAAGATTTTAAAATTCATAGAATTACTTCGTGGTATAATTAAGTACAACACAAAAATTTTATGTTTTTTAAACCTATATGTTTAAAATGAAGTAATCCAGGCTGTGGGAATTTTGTAGATAATAGTAGATTATCTCCAAGGCATTTATAAAGCAATTTACATGTTACGTTCATGCGATTAGAATGCGTTACGAAATAACTGTTAAATGAACTATATAAAAAGTATATAACTAAAATACTCAAGGAAATGCAGGTAGACACGGCTGATAACTAGTTTAATTGATTTTTTGTATCATCAATTCTTTTTACGCACTATCTTATCTGATAGTGCATAGTTTTATAATTTTGAAGTCGATATTAATATTGCTATTTTCTTTTGGACGGTATTAATTTATTTTATATAGGGAATAATTTCATAAAACTATTTCTATATTACGCGTAATGTTTGTTAAAATTTCACTATCTACAAAAATATACATATAAGAATCGTACTGTGTAAAAAAATAACTAAGTTATGCACTGAATTAGTGACGCGAAGAAAAAGTTTGTTTTGTTTTCTTTGAAAATATGCCATAACAAGGTGTAAGTTTAGATCCGTACGCAAGATAAAGTCTGGTACACACGGGTGGGTTCCAAATTGCTCCACAATGGTGTAATCGGCTCAATCTACACGAAGCTGAGAACTTGGCTCACTGGGCGTGAAGCCAAACCGTTCCGCTTTAGCGAGCGCAGGCGCTTTTTCCCACTATCATTTGCGAGGTTTTTTTTAATAATGAGTAGTTGGGCCCTTAACAAGCGCCCAACTGCGTCCCTGTTTTTAATTGGTGCAGTTACGTATTTCGTCGACGGTTTAGGTAGGTATAATTTGAATTTAAAAAATAAGTAGTAATTCTTTATTGAATTTAATAATTTTATTTAAGACTCAATGCGAAAGAAAGGATGAAGCTTCCTTCAAGAAATGGATTAACAAGGACTATTTCATGCGATTAAAGCCGCGAAATACACCTAGAAAACAAACAACAAACTACGGTGCCCCATATAATTGAACAGTAACAATGCGATGACGATGATAATGTCCTATAAAAGCAACAAATAACAATAACAAATTCGGCTCCACATGGAGATTCTCACAGATTGATATTAAATATTAAATTAAGTAGAAACAACGATTGACATAGAAACAATTCTTAATTGCAGGTACGAAGCGATACTATTGGGAGATATAAATAGGTTAGTCTACTACACGAAAGAACAAAGAAACTTTTATCCAATATTGATTACAAAGTGGTCTTTATTGGGAATCTATGTAATTGATGTAGTGCTTAGTATTGGCTACTCCCGCAGACACGTCGGCGTCTACCGTATCAGTTGCGGTTTCGAACTTAGTCTGCCAACATTATGCACTTACGCGACTTGCGCTCGAATGATCCGACGGCTCCCAGGCAACGTGTACGTGAGTACATAGCCTTATGTTTGGTACTAAAGTGATATCGGATCCGTTGGAAGCATTTTGATGAAACTTTGAATATCAGATTAAATGTTCGAAAATAAGCGTGGTGAAATTCGGGCTTTGATCTTAGTTTGGAATGTTTTATGTATTTATTTGTTTATATAATACCTGTATGTAAATAAATTAACTAATATTAAAATAAACGTCCTTACAACTTTTATTCCAGGCGAGTTGGTGTTGTGGAAAACATCAGTATCAGTTTGACAAAAAGCGAGCCTAACATCTCTTTAAATTAATTTTGTCCGTTAACGGTGTTAGTAACGACCACATGATTATGTAGTATATTTATATTACCAATGTACGTAATACCTGTGGCAATACCTTTTTATAGATTCCCATAAGGAATACTTACTTAAGAAGAAGTACCAAGTTGTGTATAGAGTTAGTTGAGATTACACGTTATAACATTTACGGTATAAACTATAATTAGTAGTAATTCGTATACAATCGCGGAATCTCTATTATAAAGTACATGTTTTATGTGTAATAAAAACTTCACGCTAATCGCATTGATCCAATGTTTACTTATAAAAAATTATACGCTTACTTAAATGTCGCAGTAGTAATTATAATGTATCTAAATGATATGAAAAAAAAGTAGAAAAGTATACTTACGCGTGGGTATGGGAAAGTTCACATGTGTAACTGTACTGATGGTTTAGTAAGACTGCGGTTGCAGACGTAAGGCGTAAGCGATTTTCGTGTGGATTTTATTTAAGTGTAAACTATGTAGACTATTATGTCTAGACATTTATGCGAATGTATATAGGTTACTAAGACCATTTAGGTACTTGGGATTTGACGATTACAGTGGCACAGTAATAAGTAAATATCATATAAACGAAGTTCGGAGTTCTACTTTCGGTCGAATCAAAATATTTTGTGTTTTCTGTAATATTCTGATCTCCATAGTGGTTCTTTTGTCTATAGTCGACAATTATCACTTTCCATTAGATAGACGGGCGAATGTTTGCCGTTTTGAGAGAAATAGGATACATATGTATTTAGTTTCGTTAATAATTTTATATATACGTAAAACTGAATCTATTAATCCTGTGTTTTGAAACAACGAAAATGTAAAAACTGAAAATGTAGATTTCAAACGCAGCGGTTAACGAATATGAGTCATGTATGAAGTCATTACTAGATGACTTAGAACCACTCATTAGTTTACTTCAACTAAAAATACTAATTGTTAGTAACGGGTATTATTTACCATCTGTTAACTATATCTCGCATTTACGCCATTAATATGATCACAGCTTAATCCGCTAAGTTATATTATATTGAACAGGGTGAGAAATTTTATATCAGCAACATGACACATTGGCATTATAAAGCATTGTGCCTTTTACACAATTCACGTTAAATCGCCATTATGTTAAAAACGCAATATCGCACTCGTTTATAAATGGGTTTAGTGTTTACACAAAGTGATATATGAGTGAAGAAGCTAGAAATTGCTTAACGTTTCATGATCGTTATAATTCAAGGCCATATTTATCACCTACTTGTTTTTTATGAGCTACATTTTAAAACGGTTACATTTTGTTTAGCAAAAAAGCATCTTTAATCGTAAATACACATAGGTATTCCGACAAATGACGAGATGCTTTGTATAAAATATTTAATTTTATTTATAAATAAATTTAGTTTCACAACAAGTAGTTCTTTACTCCGCAAATAAAAGGGCATATTTAATTATAATCTTATAAAGTTTATGTGGGCTCGACCAAAAATAAATCTTATGGATTATAAAGAAAGTTTCAAAATTGGTTCAGAATTGAAAATTCTCACGAATTATAAACCTCTGTCTCTTGAAAGTCGCTTAAAATTACACGCATACATATATACGTATATGTCGCTTAAAAATAAATTCAAAAAGATACTAAAATGTAAATAAATTAAATTAATTTTGGTAAATAAACACAAAAAAGGGTGACATTTAAAAGTTATTTCTTACATAAACATCGTACTCTATTCTTAATATAAATAGGCTCGGGTCTGTTATTAATCAGCACACCGGCAGGCCTTTATAGAAGGTCAGAGCATAAAAGGACAACAACGTTGTATTGATGAACGCATATTCATTATATTAAGGGGAGGAACGTGACCAAATGGAAGAGGTCGAATTTAAAGAATGTCTTTGTAGAAAAAGAAAAAAAAAGGCAATTTCTTTACAGCCAGTACTAAACCACTGACAATTTTATGAATACTGCCAATGTTATTTATACACATTTTTATATGGTTACTACTCGATTATACGATAGATTTTGATTCTAACTTATATCCTGGATTAACACGGATTGTTTAATCCTGGTTTCACACTCCCATGGGTAATTTACAATCTGTAGATACAAACTAAGCTGTCGGTACTCGCGAGTTATTTTTTTTTTATTTTGTACCACATACATATGTAATATAAAACTAAATTTAATGCTATTAGTGGTGAATAAATTATTATAAAAGACGTTAACGTTGAAAAAAATTTGCAAGTGTAATTAAATTGAGGAGAAAAGAGAGACTCGTGTTGGCAACAGGATGACCGATACAACGGCAGACTGCGTGTCGCGACGGTAGAGACATGTGTAGTGAATTCCATTTCGCAATGTCATTACATTACACTTTTTTTTATTTTTACCGCAATGGAAGTAAAGACATCGCATTGGTCATAAATGTAATTAATTCGAAATTCAATTTGTGTGTTATTTTTGCATTATTATTGGTGTAATTTTGTAATGTAATTGGTGTAATGTGTACAAGGTATTTTGTTTCCCAGTTATAAGTTTTAAAGCAATAATGGCGAGATTTTTCTGATTGAAGCTTGAAAAGGCAATTGAGATTTTTCAGCGTGTTTTTCAATATACAGCAGCTTAATAATAATCCACTGCTCAATAACGTACTTTCTGAGGATCTATCGCTAAAAAATAAACTTTATTACAATAGACTTGAGTTTAAATTACCTTGCCGAGGAAAAATCGCCTGTAATACTTGGCAGTATCGTCGGTATCGATATTGTGTCGCCTAGACGCTTGTCGCGGAGTGCCAGGTTGCGCCCTAGGTTCAGGTTCCTCTCCATCTTGAACCTCATCTATGCCATCCACCCAGTATCCACCGTTAGGAGGTTGCACTATACTTGGCGGGGTTCCTGCAAAAATGGATATTAACATTACCTTCAAATAAAAAAAAAAAAACTTGTTAAGGTCTGAAAAACAAATCATGAAATTAAATATCTTTAAGTAGTTGTAAGCTTAAGTTCTTATTAATTTAATTAACGTTACTGGCCATTAAAAATGTATGATGTAATAGGTGGAATTAATAAAAAATTCTTTCTCAGCTACTCATAAAGAAAACCAGAGATGTTGATAATTGGTAGATAATATATTGTTGGCCATCATTGCAATATAAAAAAAAAATATGTATATAATTAATGAAATGAGGAATGTTTTCATACGAACTTGTCATAAATTCCCATGATGGTATTATTCAGTTTATTTTTTAAGAAACACGTATTATACTTCATCTGGCAAAATAAAGAATTATAAATGAGAAATAAGCATTATATTATTATACCATTGCCAGGTCATCAAACTAAGATACCATGTATACTGTGAATCCATCTAACGAACATATGTATCCAAGAATAACATCAGTGTGATGAAATATTTATTATTTTTACTCAAAAATGGCTTAAAACCTTAAGGAAGTCACGGAATCAATTAAGGTTTTTTTAATCTTCCCATAGACAAGCAATTCTTGTGGCCTTCATGTTACATCCAAGGTTGTCACTATTTGTTAGGTAGTTTTTGCGTAACAAATTGATATAATTAACCGTGTAGCGCAGCTGAATGTGTTCCGCGGTATTCAATTTACAAAACCTTATGTTTATTTACTGTGTAAATACTTACATGTGCGTAACGCATTTCAATTGAGTGAAAATCATGTTTTGATATTGAAGTTATGTATTTTATGATGTGAGTATAAATATTCACACTACTATTGAAATACAACGATGCTTAGATTTATATTCTGTGCATTGTGCAGGTCAACGCTTATGTTATGACAGTTTGAGTTCTAAAATCTGGATTGAGCGAGATTTTTCGATTTGCTATTTTATTTTTATACAACTTAGAATGTCAAACAAGCTGACGGCCCACCTGATGGAAAGTGGTAACCGTCGCCTATAGACATGAGCAGTACCATGAACATAACAGAGTATACTGTTTCGCCCTTGATACTCCCCATGCGTTGCCATTCCTGAGGACTCAGGTGTTATTCCTCTATACTCAGTAAATTCACGCCATATCCCACCCTTTAAACCGAAACACAGCCATGCAAACACAACTGCTTCACGGTTGAAACACGAATGGGACAGAGGTACCCAAGCAATCGACTTTTGTACAAAGTCTCCCTCGGGTATCATTATTCGAATAATTATTATATTCTACCTCACATTTAAAAACTTTATTGAATGTATGGAAAAAACCGAACATACAAGTTTTGGTAGAGCAGTCACCAAAATGTAACGCGCAATATAAATACACTTGAAAATTATTATTATAATTGTAATTGACCTTACTAGTGATACATCACCTAAATTAGGCAACTATAACAGTAATATTTGTATGTTGAGTAATAATAAATTTAAAAAATATTTAAAACTAAAAAAGTTTATAATTAAGAATCGGAATATATTAAATAAGCGTTGCAAAAAGGGTCAATTATTGAAAAAAAACACTTTGAATAATTTAAAATTGCATGATTACATTAATAAGTGTAATAATAAGTTAGTGGAAAGCCAAAAGTTATATGACATTGATACAGACTACCTAACTTCAAAAATCAATAGTTTAGAATCTTCACTTCATGATTTAAATACAAAGTATATTATCTCTCAGAAACAAATCCAGGAGCATATTTTAGCAATGGATGATCTGATTGATGTCAGTAAATACAATGCTGACCGTTTTGAGTCGTTGACTAAGCATTGTACATGTAATCACACAAATATATCAAATAATAATTCAGTTGTAACTGTGCTGGAAAATGAAGTTCAGAGTATGTATGTATGTGTGATACAATGTAGAGAAAATTGCAGATATAGTGCTGTTTGCGGATGATACTTCGTTAGTGTTTAAAATTGGACGTCAAAGTAATCAATTAGACGATGTAAATTGTGCTATGTCTGCAATATTAAATTGGTTTACATGTAATAACCTATTATTAAATTCCAGCAAAACAAAGTGTATAAAATTTATACTTCCTAATGTAAGACTAATAAATACACAGTTATTGCTTAATGACGAAATAGTAAATTTTGTTAATGATACAGTTTTTTTAGGTATAACAGTGGACTCGAAATTACAATGGGGGCCCCATATTTCAAAATTGGCCAGTAGACTCAGTTCTGCTGCATATGCAATTAGAAGAATTAGGCAATTAACAGACGTGGCGACGGCTAAACTTGTATATTTTAGTTATTTCCATAGCATAATGTCTTATGGCATACTGCTGTGGGATAAAGCAGCCGATATAAATACTATATTTGTTTTACAAAAGAGAGCCATACGTTCTATTTATGGTATGGGTTCAAGAGAGTCATTGCGTCAGTGCTTTAAAGACTCAAATATCCTCACAGTTACTTCACAATACATTTATGAAAATATTATGTATACACGTTAGAACTTAGAGAGTTTTAAAAAACTCAAAGACTGTACAAGTAGAAACTTACGCAATATAAATAAGCTTATTTTACCTAAATGCCGTCTGCACAAAATCAGTAATTCATTCTATGGTAATTGCATAAGATTTTATAATAAACTGCCAGAATCTGCATTAAATCTGACAGAGAGGCAATTCAAATCTCATATTAAACAATTTTTATGTAAGAAAGCCTATTACAGGATAGACGAATTCATAGATGACAACATATCAAGTAAATAATTAGTTTATTAGCATACAACGTTATAATTTTATTTTCTCATTGCTTTCTTGATTTAATTGATTAATTTTAGAAATATGAAAGCGTAGCGGTTTTTGTATTAATTGCCGCATGCATTCTTATGTAAAATGTGAATACTATAACTATCAGATGGCAATTGTGAGTAGCTTTGACGTGGTCTAGTGTTTTGAGTAGTCATGCTCACTAAAATGTCCAGACTTGTGGCGGCGTGGTGGGCCGGGTCATTAGGCTCCCTAAAATATGGTCGAGCGCAGTGATGGCTGGCTCATCCGTCATACTCGTGAACGGGTGCTGCTTGTAGGGACTGGTCTGCTCTAATCACTATGACTGATTTCCTCTTATAATTGTTTAACCAGTTGGTTATGTATTCAATATTTTTTCTTTTTGAGTATTTAATTGAATTAGTGCTAATTGGTGGTTTGTATTCACACACTTAAACTTAAAAATAAAGTAATAATAAAATTATTTAAAAGAGCAACACGCAAGTTTCTTGCTCGTTCTTCTTGTGATGAGACAGCTTTCCGAACGAGCGGTAGATTAAAAAAAATGTAATTACTTTTCAAAAGTGCTTCAATGTAAGTTTATTTGAATAAATGATTTCTATTCTATTCTATTCTATTCTATAAATTATCATATTTAATTTATTTAATTATTAAATATATATAATAGCCTGTTGTTTCTTTTATAGTTAATACCTAGATATATTGCCACTCTATGTTCATACTTTTGAAGTCCTATAATTATTATAATTGTGTAAGATAATAGGATATTTGTTACTCAATCGTGTTTAAACATCTAAACGGCGTTGAATAAATTTTTATGTATGGTATGCAAGGTATATCTTAGATGAACATAGGATACTTCTATATTAACTCAAGCGGACAAAGCTGCGGAGATATTTCTCGTGAGAAAGTAAATAAATAATTTGAAGGATCCATCTGATACATTATGTACTCAAATAAAATCGATAAATGCAATTTCGTATTCCGAGTGACTTGTGTATTATTTATTATACCAAGTTTTATATTACTTGTCAGAGAACACTAAACATTAATATAATTTGATACATATGTATGTTAATATACATAAAAGCACTTTGTACGGGTACTTGCTGTATGTAATAAAAAGAAGTATATATAGTACAACGTTTTAAAAATGCGAATAAAACCAAGCAGGAATTGTGGCACAAAATTACTAAGCATTGGTCAGCCGCAACTAATCGAAACAACCGCCCATCCTTTTAGACCCGCATCTAATTTCAAACAAGGGATGACTAGTCTAGACCGCCTTTTGTCCAGGCATATTTTTGTAAGGGTTTCAATATAGTTCTATGTCCTGCGGGGCTTCATTGTTCCTGCTATACGTCTCATAAAGCTTCGTTGCTAGGTTTTATGAAGGCTGGCTTTTATAAAAAGCTCGGAGACGAGTTTGAAACAAAGCTGACGCATGTAACTTGGACATAATACTTGAGGATTTTATCTACATTACTAAAATAATTAAAATATGAATATTGTACTTAATATAAAAAAAATGCAAATTCTCATTTTAAACACTTAAAATAATTATTTGCATTCTTATTACATTTGTAACTACTTCTAATGATTAGTTATAATCAAATTATTTAAAAATAATTACTTTCTAGTTACTGTGATGAATATAACATGTATATTTAAAGTATCAAAAAACATACATATATCTATATAAATGATATGGTTCCTAAATTTTATTATATTTAATCAATATGTCTATATCAAATAATCAATATCAAAAGTTTGCAAACGTTTAATCGATATAACAATAGAAGAACTGCTAAATATACCCACCACTATTTCCTATACAGCCTTAGGACACATGATTAGTCAAGTGTAACCTAACTACTAGTAATAGTGTCTGCCTAGAATAGGGCATTTAATAATTATGTTACATATTATTATTTATGTTCATTGACTCCGACGAATGATAGAGACAAAGATGGTTATGTGATGATTCCGTACAAGCAAATAAATATAGCATGACTTTCATTAGATGTAGTGACAATTGCAAATACATTTCAGTTATAAGCGTTCAAGTGTATTATTCGTATCAAGTGTTTATAAACTTGTCACTACAATTTATGGGAAAGTGTATAATAAGTAATTGAAATGATAATAATTATCATCTTTATCATCATCTCAGCCATTGTCTGTCCACTGCTGAACATAGGCCACCCCTATAGACTACCATAAAGAACGTTCTTTAGTCACCTGCAATCCACTGACTCCTTGTAATGCATATAAAGTTGTCGCCACTCAAGAACCATTCTTCCCCAGAAATGATAATAATAATGATTGTGAATGTTAGATATTATATTATTATAGATAGTAAAAAATGATGACACTACATTTTGTTTATTTGAAATAAAGTTCATTAAGTATGAAAGATAAAAGACACAGAAAAATCTAGATTAGTTCCATTTTTTAAGCAAACCACGACTTGTTTGATTTCCTGCTGCTAAGCTTATACAATTCCCAGACCATCCACTAATTTAATTAATGCTTTAATCAGACAGCTCAGAACTAATGAAACTTTTCCTTTGACATTATTTTCTTTATGTGTATCATTGAAAAGATTTTAGATCCTTGAGACTAGATTTGATCTTTTAATTAATACCTATTTCAAAAGAATTTAATATGAATTTATAATTTTATAGGACTAATTTCGATATTTATTTCAATTATTTTATTATATTAAGTATTATACTTGTTAAAAATTCAGATAAAGGAATTTATTTTTAAAGAAATAAATTTATTTAAGACAGGTATAAAAAACTTACGATTCCTATAGATTGTTTGGGTCTAGTCAAACTAAGATAGTCATTTCTTATTATGAGGTATTCAATTATTTAGTTCAGAATAGTGTATAAATATTCTAGTACTGTTATAAGATGAAACGACTTCAATAGTTATAACTGATCATTCGCGTAAAAATTGCTTTTGGGAATACGCTCAGATGCGGCAGGTGCTGCGAATCTTGAATTATTTATTAAGAATCTATTTTTTACATGACTAGTGTAGAATTTTTATAAAAAATATTTGTTCAGACAAAAATCATATAAAATGTTGATATTATGCTGAATATCAATATACCATTTAAAATTTTCAACCGGCTTCAAAAAGAAGGAAGTTCTCAGTTCTCGGTTGTATTTTATTTTAGAAACGATAAACGAATTCATAATAGTGGCCAGCATATTAAGTATTCATAGCTCTGTAACATATTTTTTTTTTTTTTACAATTTCTTGTCTTTTAATATTAATTTAATATTTAAAATATCACACTATTCCTTCTTAATCATATTTCATCTCCCATTCTATACCAACGACTTGCTAATATCTATATAAACCCTACGAGATTTTAGAGTACAATTCAAAATACAATTCGAGTTCAATTGTACTGTATATCAAATAAGTGTATTGAATAAATAATAATAAAAAAGAAATTTAATATCCATCTGAGTTTTAGTGTCAACAAGATTTAAGCTCACGAATACTGATATATTTATTTTGTAAAACATTTGAATAAATACTGAAAATATTAAGTAAAACCTTCAAATTCGACAATAACTGTCATTAAAGAAAACTTACTGCGAAATTTCCGAAGAACATTCCCTTTGAAGTTGTAACTGTTAGGTAGAGAAATTACGCTCTTGTTCCAATAGAATCAGAATTCAATACAAAAGACTTCATAAACAAAGTCAGTAAATCTAAAACGAAATACTTTCACACTTCTGTTCTCAACATTTCCTTAACTTTCTCCTGCAAATGGTTTGCAACAATGATGAAAGTTATTGCGGGCGAGTCAGTACAGAGGGTGATAAAGGTAAAGAAACTAATATATACATAATTTCACTTCAGATTTATAAACAGTGAATAATGGAGTTGTCGATATATTTGGTCAAACGTAGATTGGTTTGATGCAAACAAAATTCTAGACACGTTTTATGTAGAATTTTGCAACTATATGTAAATTTGCTTCTTGCGTTGCATAGAAAATATACTGCTTTGAACGATAAATAGATACAGTCTTAAACCTGAAAACAGTATAGCAAATGGGCACGTCATCAAAATACTTTATCATTAAAATATAAAATAAAAAATATATATATTATTTTAATCATAGGCTATAGTACATCTGGTAGCTTTTTTTTATAACACAGGGGGCAGACGAGCATGCGGCTCACCTGGTGGTAAGTGACTACCGCCGCCCATGATCACCCACAACACCAGCGGCATTGCAGGTGTGCTGCCGGCCTTTTACAAAGGAATATACTTTTTTCTTGAAGGTTATGTTGTTTTTATCTGTAGTCTGATTAATGTATGTCTAAATATATATACTTTCACCTTTCAGATTTTCAAGGTTGACTGGAAGAAATCTCTTTAAGGGATAAGTCTGCCTATGTACATTTTCCTTATAACCTAATGTCTATATTAAAAGTGAATGTACAAAAGCATATACATAAATAAATATATATTTTTTATTATATTTAGCAATATTATATTTTCAAATATAAACAAACTGTCTACAATGTAACAAAAGAATAGAAAATACATGCTTATTTGAAATGATCGTTTAACTAACGGAGTTTGAAATAAACAGTGAAAGTAATTTTCATTTTAATTAGATGCAGAAGCAAATTAATAAATAAATAAGTAAATTCGGAATAATTTAATAATCAAGTAACCCTAGATTTATCTAGTAATTCTAGTAAATTTTCGGCCAGTCCACTTGTCTCTAGTAACTCTCCCCCTGGAAGGGAAGAGCGGAATTTTTGCTACCTATCCCTACCATTGTGTGCCCAGTAGGGATAAACTGAAAAAATATGCCACTTTTCCCTACCAATTGTGTCCAGTCAATGTAATACGTAAGGTTAAATGCATTCCCAAAATCTGAGCACATTAAAAAAATAGTGGTTAATTCATTAATTATAAATAAATCTTTGGTCTATTAATAAAATATATTGGACAATAATTCTCTTAAATTAGTTAACAAGTAAGTACAATATTTCAATAAATTCAGACACATTTTAGTATCGTAAAAACAGTTCATATTCATTTTCCTTAATGAGAAGCATGAATAAAGAAAGATATTGCCAGGATATTGACTTCGGTTCTTTCTGTCTATCCCATGTAAGGCATAGTAAATAGATAGACAGATCCGATCAAGAATCAAGTTCAAGGCACCAACACAAAATAATATGTCGACTAACAAACTCAATCATGAAAGTTCAAATGTTTTATTTCACATACAAAAATTTTGCAATTAAAACAATCTCATTTCAATGCCTTAATAAATGGAGCACAGTGTATTACTCAAATTAGTGCAATATTCATGTAACAAGCGCAACTTTACCGTGGCACTAAGTAGAGTTAATTGTTATAGCAGGTCAACAGAATTTATGAGAAATATTTTTTCGAGACATTTTAACGACTAATGAACTAAGGATTACACAGATAAATTTCAGGTAAATTTTTACAACATTCGTTTTCACTTTTGCTAGTTATATAATCTTTCAAGACAATATTATATAGTCGAATGTAAAAAAACTAAAATGTGTAACGAAGTTCCGGGTTCAATCCCGGCCGGAATAAATTAGGAGAATAATTTTTATAACACTGACTCAGTTTAATTAATGTTTTTCATGCTTTTTTTATTTTATTTAGTGATAATTACCTGGTTTAGCAAGAGTTTCCTCTAACAACTTCCTACTGGCTTGACAGGCGGCTGCAACTCGATGTTGGGCTGCTGCCGCGCCTGGTGACGGCGGGGGTCCATGTGGGGCAGGTACACGGTCCTCGGAACACGAGTGCCTTTCTCCAACTGGCACCGGTACCGACCGACGTTTCTCGGTTCTTGGCACCTGCGACAAGTTTTAGTAATTAGTGACAGTCTTCAAAAATTTAATACATATAAAAAATTCTTGCGTTTATCATACACTTCAAGTATCTTTGTTTAATAGATTTAATTTTTTTTTACCTATTTGTCTGTTTTAGTACTTATGTCTTGTATTTTATCGATATGGTGATTTATACACAATATTCTTATAATAATAATATGTTAGTATTTAAAATACTTTTTTTATGCAACTTGGTACTGGAATGATTAACAAGCTGACAGCCCACCTGATGGAAAATGTTGACCGTTGCCTATAAACATGAGCCATGGACATAACAGGATATACTGTTTCTCTCATGATACCCCCCAAAATACTTGTACCTATTACTTACAAATACTATATCGATATACTTTCAATATGATGAAGATGATTCTTTCGAATTGTGAACATTTTTATTTTTGTTTTAATATAAGTAATATAAATAAACTAAGTACTATAATATTATGTGCTACATGGTAATAATATAGATTTATTTATTATTTTTTCAAATCTATTAGGCTTTATGCAATTAATTCCACTTAACTACAAATAACCCTTAATTGTAGTTACGTGGAACAGATTTTAATGAGATGCTTCTGAAACTTCTCATTACTGCGAACAGATTTATTGCTTATTGAAAACATATAATAAATAATAGCCATCTACGTTCATATTAACTGATAAATTTAATATTGAAAGTAAATTTTGTTTAATTTTGTAGGCATAAAATAAAATTTTTAATTAAATGAAATATCATTCATTTTAAATTACATGTAGGCGAAACTTCGTTGCAATGGTACTTAAAATTAATTTATAACGTTAAAACAATGTCATTGTTTGATACATACCTAGGATTTATTTTTTGTTAAAATATTTTAAGGATAATACTTAATAAATTGAACTAATAATAACAATTAGGTACAAAATTTTATTGAAATCCGTTCCTCCATTTTCATGAGGTAACATAACTAACAGATATTGATTCTGAAAATAAAAGTATTCACGTTTTGTTGTTTATTTCTGGCCTTCCTCGCTGATTTTTAGAAAAAAATAATAGTTTGGAATTTTCTACACATATATCGTATTATATTTCATTCCTTTACTTTGAAAATTTCTAAAAAACACAAATTAGAATACCATAACTATTTATAAAATAAAAAACTGACTAACCAAAATAAAGTGTAAGTTACTACTAAACAGAAATTTACATATGTTCCTTGTTGATAACAATGACGATCTGAAAAATATTTATTATTCTAATTATATTATTATAAATTCTTAATTCTAAATGAAAAACACTGAAAGGTGCTAACGGATTCCACGCGGGCGTAGATGCTTAAACAGCTAATACTTTAGAATTATTTTAATATTTCCTCTTTATTATATTTCTAGGTGTTTCATTTAAACGTACAGTCAATGCAACTAACCGTGACGGAGCGGAGGCATCCGTCCGTTGAACTCCTACCGTGGGATTTCGTCTTTGTTACTTTTCACTCTAACTGTACCGATCCTTACAAATCGTTTCGTGGTAGACCCATCTATGTACAAACTATTTGGAAACGTGATCCAATTGTAGTGGCACCAGTATTTTGTGAAACCACAAGTTAACAATCTCGAATACTCAACAGGTATGATGTATTACGGCTATGAACGAAGCCACCAATACACCTCTGTTTTACTATAACCTCAATAATAGATCTAAACGCACCTAAAAATAAAAATACGTAAGCAATATGTTTGGAAATTAATCTGAAAAAGATTAATTAGTAAACATATTTATTTATAAACGAGGAGGATTGAGTCTAGAAAACTAAAATTTGGAATACATGTTTATTTAATTAAGAAAGGAAACACTAAGGAAGATTTTTTTTTAAATTTAAAGATACATAACACCACTCAAAAGTCTTTGGTAACTGCATAGTATATATATAAAACCTCTTAAATTAACTGCATTATGGTTGTACCTAAGTATAATTTGATCACAATTCTAAAACTTTGCTGACGCATTCTAAATGCAGTACCAGGTGTTATTAATGGACTACACAAAACGAAGAAAATCAAGGCAACAATATCGACTGGCCTATAAATCGGTGTGCCGTAAACACCATCAAAAGTTTAAAATTGGAAGTCGACGGAAGCATTAGTTGAAGCGTTGACAGCAACTCGAAGCAAGTAGCGTGGAAACGCTCGAGACTCGAGCCATTTTCACTTTGATCAAATTTATCTGACGTCACTCGTGTTGTGTTTATACATGTATACCTACTATATATAGGAACTAACCGCTGAAATTGAATACATAAAACTTACGACTATAGTAAACATAACTCCGCCGTTTTCCGTATAAAAATAGGTACAACCAATATCCTACCGTAGTTTATAAAATTAAATGTAGAAACTGTGTTCACAAATCAAATGGTTGGTGTCGATCGATTAGTGACGAATGAACTCCACCAATTACTCGAGTTAAAAGAACTATTTCGATGCGTTTCAATTCACGATCGGTTTTCACGGAAAAAATTGTAGTTCAAAGGTGATAGGATGACACTGCGCACAAACCATCGGAAAGTGGAGACTTAATTAATGTTATATAAACATCAATTCTTATATAAATACAAAATAAGAACGGAACACTGATCTCATTTCATTTTTTTTCTATTTACAAGTTTTAGTACATACTAAACCTGGATTAAGGCATGTAATTAGAACAGTTCCGTAATGACGTGTCATTGTAAACATTGTACATATTTTGGTTTATTTTTAATTTTTCCTGTACATTAGGAAGTGTCGGTAATGTCTATATGAAAAGTACATTTCATCGTAAAAATAAGGTCAATCAAAAGTAAGATTACATATTGTAATAACAATAACATTAAAATAATATAAGAGAAACCATAGACTAATAAGCTCAGTTAAACGACGACATTTGACTGTGTTCCGGGGATCCTAAGATAGTCTAAACTACTATTACTCGCTTTGTGCTTTGTCAAGGCAATTGTAATTGTAGGTCTTCTTAGTCCTCTAAAGAAGGCCGTGGAAAGTTCAGAGTGAAACTCTTTGCCCCGAACTTCAACAGCAGGGGCGACTAGGCTCACTGGAAAGATGCCTCTGTTGGCTAGTTCTCATTTTGTACTGTATTTTTCGGGAATTTGAGTTCAATCTCTTCTTACTTTTTTATCTATAGATTTTTTAAGTAAATAATATTAATAAAAAATAGGCTACTGTATTGTTAATTAGATGTGGTATATATAAATATTGTGAGGGAACCTAGAGGCCTAGAAACTTCCAGCACTAGAGGGCGCTATCTTCAAACGAATAGTATTAGTATCACAGATAAATGCATCAAGTAACAATTAGTCTTCCGATTACTTAACCCTCATAATGCTTACAAACATAACAGCTACTTAATTCTACAACTAAAATCAGTTATTGGATATGTAAATTACTATGCAATGTTGTCAGTCATACTGAAACGGAAAGCTGATATTATGAAATCGCATTAAAAAACCTAATTACCTAAATTATTACATGCGTTCACTTTCTGTATACAGGAAATTGAGTATCAAATATCCTAATATTAGTGAGGCTTCTGTCCGGCTTATGGAATAAATGCTATCCTTTTGTACCATTGTGACTGCTAAGCCAATAACAAATAAAAGTACTTTTCAAATATAGAGTTTTTGGGTCTTCGCGGTATTAATGACAGAGTAACCGCAGTATAAATACTGCCTCACCTGACAGTGGTTTCAAGCTCGAGCCCTATTTAATATACATATATATAAACACATGTATTATTTTATACTTGTTTATATTATTTTGAGCATTTTGTATGATTATTAGTTGTCTAAGTACCAGTAATATAAATAATTTTGATTCTAGACGGTGCTGTGTCTGTAACTATAATAAAATAATAAAATTAATTAGGTATTATTATTATATGAATTAACTCAAATTACGATATTATAATAATTATATATATATATATATATATATATATATATATATATATATATATATATATATATATATATATATATATATATATATATATAAAACTTTTCGTAATCAATGTAGGCCTTTAATTGCTGACGTCATTTCATACACCAAAATATACCATGTAATCATATATTACCAAACAAATGACACGTGTAATTTCAAGCGCGCTCAACGCCTCATTAAAACATAAAGATTAATGGAACTCACATTTCACTCTGCGGTGACAGGAACCGCACATTAAATTCGATATCGAACAATTTACTGAACGCATCTTGCTAACAATGACTGCTGAATTTAAACAAGTTGATTTTGCTCTGCAAAAAGCACCTACAATCGTGATAAATATTTGAATTTAGAACATAAAATTGTGTGTTTACAAAAAAAAATAAAAATTTCATTTGTAACCTTTCCTAAATTATCTGGACAACGATGCAACCCATAAAATGGCGCCGTAAAAAAATTAAATTATTCTTTGTAATTAAATACGATCCAATTACTACTAATTGGTACCAGATAAATTCGTTAGGTACTTTTTAAGTCATAAGATTTACATTACGTATTTTTTCATTATTCTTCTTTATATCTAAACCTATCGTTAGAATATTTTGTACAAATTCGTATTAGGTAGTAACTGTTTAGGATCAATAATTAATATAAATGCATATGCAATGGGTCGAAGTGAAAGATAACCTTTGTAATCACACAAGAAACTGAATATTATACAAAGCTAGTTAGCAATATAAAACCAAATTCCAGTATCAGTATTTATTACATTTAACAATGTATCTTAAACAGTATAATCTAAATTACAACATTATTTAGTATAAAACATTACAGGTAGGTATTTTTAGTCGTGTGGTCCCGGCATAGAATAGGCCACCCCTTCCTTTCCCATGGGTGTCATAAGAGGCAACTAAGGGAAGGCGAGGGATGGACAATAGCGTTTCTCTTAAACATCTCTAAAGCCTAACCATGGTTGCCAATCCTACTGC